TAAAAATTTATTTTGAAAAAATAATTTATTAATATTTATTTGAGATACAAATCTTTTTGCACTAATTCATATAATAAAAATGTTTTTATTTAAATAAATTCTAATATCTAATAACTTAATTAAATAAGACAAAATTAAAATTTTATTTTAAAAAAATAATTATTAATAATTATTTGAGATATAAATCTTTTTATTCTAGATTATATATATAATAATTTCTATAATAATAATTATGAATTAAAAATTAATTTTATTAATGAAAATTAAAATTTTTTTTATAATAAAATTTATAATTTTACTAATATTTTTATACTAAAATAATAATTTATAATTTATTAATTTTATTCTAATTATAAAGTCATTAAAAAAAATTTAATTAAAAAAATTTTTGTAATGAATTTGTAATTAGAACAACTCTCAGAAAATCTAAAATAACTGAAAAAATATATATTAAATTATAAATTATAAACTTTATTTTAATATAAAACAAAAATCATTTCTTAAGCTTAATATAAGAACAACCAATTATATTTAAATAAATAATTTTTTAAAAAAGTAAATCAAATACTTTTGAAACAAATCATTTATTAAGAAAATGACATTAAAAATATAATCATGTTAATGTTTCATGACAAATGTAATTCGAACATAATATCAAGATATGTATAATTATTAACAATATCAATTATTAATTACAAAAACAACTTTTATTTATGTAATAAAATTAAAAGTCTAAATTTCAAAGAATATTATTTATATTATTTACAAGTAATCAATAAAATCAGAATTGAAAAAAAAGTAAATATCTGTACAAAATTTATAATTATTGATTTATAAAAATTCGTTAGAAATTGTCAGTTTTCTTATTGAATTGTTTTTAAGCTCATAAATGAAACTATATACCTATACATATGGCCAAATGTTTCTAAAGAAACCACCTTCTTCAAAAGATTCGGGTTCTTTATATTCTGGTAATTTAATCTTAGGTGGTTGTTTCTTTAGAAGACAATAATCTCCCCATTGCAATGGGGACCGATGTGTTGAATACTTAGTCCATTTTTCCCAGAACCACATTGGTAAATAGAAAGCACGTGCGTATTGTTTAGAATTTTTAGCATCCAAAAATGGTAAGCATGCAATTTTTGACCATTCTTCAGTATTTTTAATATAACGAGTTTCACGAGGGGTCGATTCAGACGATTTAAAGTCAAGATCTATAAGGTAGTCGCATTTGTCGATATTTTTCTGGCAAAATAAAGAATAATATAAAATAAAATTGCAATGGTTAATTTACAAAATAGAAAAAGTTTAAAACATACGTCGTAATGTTCCGGATTTTCTTTGTTTCGATCGTTAAACCCGCCCGGCAACTTCCAGGTTCCAATTGGCACTCGAGAATTTTGTGTTAAATTTTCGTCATTCACAATATCATCCTTTTCCAAAAAATACTTTGGCAATAATCCTCTGAAATCTGATTGCACAAATCTCAATCTTACGCCATGAGGTAAAAAATAATGACTTGGAAATCTATGCCATTCTTTTCCAAGGCATAAATTAATTTTTTTATCTGAATTAAGACTTGAAAGATTTCGTGTTGGAATTTCTACTTGGTAAAAATGCTTGTATAGCAAAATTGGTGCATGATAATTTGAATAAAGTGCCATAACACGTGATACTGAAATGGCAACAGATGAAAGTAAAATAAAGGAGGTAAGGGTGGTCAAAAATTGTTTCCGTCGATTCTGTAATAAAGAAATTGATTAACCTCCTTTTTTTCAAATTTGAGAAAAATATTAAAAATTATGAGGAAAAAAGAATAACTTACTCGTGCTATCGAAAAGCAGCTTAATTCAAATAAGAATCTATCAACCCATCCTCTAGCAAGAAAAAGGCATACGGCAGCATTCAAACAAATTAAAGGATAAACAACAAAGAGAAACCGTTCTTCCTTATGTGGTTGAGCGATAAAAATAAAGAGCCAAAGATAGAACGGAATCAATCGTAAAAGGACAATTATATATGGGTAATTCTTATCAGTAGGGGAAGCGGATGCTATGCGTCCGTTATCAACAAAAAAGGTTAATGCCTAGAAGAATTTTATAATAATTGAATTATTAGTAATAATTAATGTTTGAGATCTTTCAATATCAAAATAAACGAACAAATAAATACCAAAGCAGGTATACTTAGGATAGCTAATACAAAAAGAATATTGAAGTTCAATAGACCATTGACAAAATAATATGACCACGGCTCTGTACCATATAAATTTGGGCCACGACCTTCACCACCAAAAACATTATATAATATAATGTTTAATGGCACAATGGTAATTTTTTTGTAAAATATATAATCAATCGAAACGATTGGTATCTAAATCGAGAAAATTATCTAAGATAAATTGTAATGCTAATAACAAAAATTAATCTAATTTTCTTACTATGATCAAGAATGCATATATGGTAGCACCAGCCACTCGTTTTATTCTTTGAATTCGCCAATTAATATTTTTAGCAAGATTTTTGTTTGTTTCTGTGCCACGGACGAATAATTCCTCAAATACCAATGGAATGCCAACAGCTGCACTAAATGGCCAGGCTAAAAGTGCACCAAGACCGAAGAATCCAATAGCTCTATAAGGGCGTTTTGTATTCTTAGATGAAACAGGACCGAGCGCAAATGTAAATGCCAGCATTGTAGTGTACATTGAAAAAGTAGATGGAAGAAATGCTGTTCCACAAAAACGTGCAAATTTTTATCTATTGTTAGAATACAGATAATAACTCTACATAAAGCAATTTAAAGATCCGATATATTACCAATTGATGCATTCCACATGCCTGCCGCTGAAAGCAACATTACAAATATATAACGTCCCACACGATTTCCTAATTGATCAAGAACAGCACGATAGAACTTTGCCTCGCAATATGCGCAAAATATTGCAAAGATGATACGGATCCCATAAAAAACTTTAATCTGATTATTAAGACATAATATTTTAGCATAAGATGTGATATTGATGGAAGATGAAGAATTAATAATTATAAAACCTTATCATCAGTTCTGATCAAAAAGCTTATTAGCATTCCAAGATAGGCATGAGGAGAAATATAGGCCCAACTTCGAATGGAATATTCAGGAGAGTATTCCCATGTCTGCATGCCATATCCATATTGTAGATAATGCGTAGGCTCCCAATAATTATAGACCTAAGGAAATTGTTGGTTTGGAAGATCCTTTTTTTTCCTATCCAATGAAATGATTAAGCTATTAAATTTTTTTTTACCTCATCGCAATCCCCAATATTTGCATATAATGCCGCCAAAATCCTAACAAGCAAAAATGCCAAAAATGCAACACTGAAAGATGCAGTATATGGACCCCTTAATTCATATTAAAAAAGAGATAAATTAATTACAAAAAGGTGCTTCTTTGAATATAATGAGATAGAACAGAAAACTGTTGCTGATTGTTTTTCTTTTAGTTGATTTTCAAAGTCAAAATGCCAGAAAAATAAGTCCTGCAAATGACCATCATTAACCAAATATTGTTTAGATAGTTTTTTGCAAGACTAAAGGGGAACAATGTCTTAATACCTTGTAAAAAGACTCAACCTACTACTTACTTTGGAGGAAGACCCCTTGGCTGCAAGTTTCTTCGGTCTGATAGATTAGTGGCTGGACCACTTGATACAGAAGATGCTTCGCTTATTTGCGCCCTGGATTTTCTAGCTCTAATATCCGGAGTTTTCTTTGCGCTCGCCATTTGCGAACAAAAGATAAAAATTCCCTGCAAAGAAAAAAGAATTATATCGATATCGATATGCAATTATTAGTTGATTAGAATGTAAGAAACGGGTGACGTCATTTTGATTCAGGAAACTCGCGTCTTTAATTGGTAGGAATTTCTTTAGTTGCAGAAGATGAAAATCAACTCTTTTATATATCTAATTTGTTTTTTAATAGAGAAAAATGACAGATTATCTTTTTGAAAAATCACTCATCTCTGATGAAGTACAAAATGCTTTACCGTTAAATTATGCTATTCGACCACTTGCTAAAGAAGATTACGATAAAGGTTGACCAATTTTTTAATATATTGATATGATAATAAATTTACATCGTTTAATTTAATTTCTGATTCTGAACAAAAGGAGTTTTAGATTGTCTTGGCCAACTTTCAATCATTGAGGAAATATCAGAAACGAAATTTTCAGGTATATATTTGATGAAATAATAAATAATATCATTAATAAATAATTTAATAACAAAAATTTTTTTGATTTATTAAGAGCATTTCGCTGCAATGAAAAAGAGTGGGCAATATTATATTGTTGTGATCGAGGATAAAGATTCGAATAGAGTAGTAGGACTTGGAACTTTATTAGTGGAATTGAAATTTCTGAGGGGTTGTTCAAAGGTAAATATTGATTAAATCAAAATTGTGTTCTTTTTTTTAAAAAAAAAATAATTTGTATATTTTTTATTTGTTGAGGCCGGACATATTGAAGATATCGTTGTGGACGATTCATACAGAGGGAAAAAATTTGGTTTAATGTAAATTTTTTTAGAAAATCGAAATATCTTGATCATTTACAGGTTAGACTATATATTTTTTATATATTAATCAAGTAGAAAAAAGGAATTCAGAAATTGTAATCAAATCGAAATTTATAAACATCAAAATAGAAATTTGAGTTTTTAATTTTGTCCCGTTGAATAAGGTTTTCCTTCAGCTTTCTCCTTGAGTTTCTGGGCTTCCTCTTTTTTCTTTTGTTCATTCAATTTCATATATCTATCCATATACATCGTCTCTAATCGTTTAGGGCGACTCTTCCATCCTGCTAAGCGCCTAAACATCATTGCTGTTCTCTCGATTCGCTCCGCTTGAGATGAAGGTTCTAAGTTGTC